TGCAATTGTGTGACAGAAAGAAGTGAAAGAGTTTTTTGAGTAAATTTCACGAATTTGTTGGCATTTTATGTAAATGTTGTCGAATACTAAGTACCGGAATATACGGCTAATACTGTAGTTATTCTTGAGATACAAACACACCGTAAGAATCATTGATTTTCTCTCTCTTTTCCGTTCGCAACCACTCATAAAGAGTTTGTTTCGTTGAATAAATTTAACTAAAAAATTAATATAAGAGGAAAAGGAGTGCTTTTGGGGCTCAAGTCGTGCACACATTCAACACTAAACCCGACAACTCTTTAACCCTATAATCATATATTAATAACATATAACTTATAAATAAAATTCCTCGGATTCTGTTTCGTGGGTTCGTTTGTATTTAATATTAAATTTTTTGTACTAATAGATACTAAAGTGGAAAAATTAGTACTAAAAAGTTTTGAAAGTCTCATAAAATTATACGAAAAAGGAAATCAATACGAAGATAAGGTTTCCGCATTTGTCTCTGTTTTGTTGGAATCTATTACTCCAGAATCGACTGAAGCGAACCAACATTTAATTAGACACAGAATATTCTGTAACCAAAGTCTGAGTTCAGTCGCCGATTGTTTGGTGAAAAAAGACGGCATAATATTGTTTCCCATTGAATACAAAGCCATTAAACACGACGATATCGAGGAATACAGGAAAGCAAGGGCTCAGACCATCGGCGAGACTATTGCGAGCGCTCTCACCAACCAAACCATTTGTTACGAAACAAACCGCAACTATAATAATCACTCAGTTTTGTGGTCACTATTAGTTCGCTCCCATTATTTCCATTTCTATTCCGCAAACATTTGTTCTCAATATTTGGCTCAATTGCGGACTCAATTCACGGGTAATCAACACCTGGTGTTCACCGAATACCCTGCGCTCGACTTCCGCCACAAATCTCACCAATCATTGGTTGTCCACCAATTGTATTACTTGTTGAATGCCAAACATCACCGGTCAGACACCCCCTCACGAGTCACCGCTCATTGAGCTCAACGCAAACGCTTCGGAGTTCAGTGTCTTCGCGGCCGTCAGACAATGGGTTCTTCAGAAACAACTCAAAGACTACGTTACGTTTTATATGAATGACTCGCTGTTTGTAGACATATGAACACGTGTTGAAACAGACATTTAATTGTGTTTTTCATAATTTACTTAATATTTGTTGTAATTATAACTCAATTTACGGTAATTAGTGTTCATTAAGACATTACATGACATAATATGTATGTGTAGGTGCCGTCGAGTAGGGTTGGTATGTGTGGGACAGACATGTGTTTGTAATGCAGTGAATGTATGTATTTAGTGAGCAATTGATGCCATAAAACGTAATATTGATTACAAATAGTGATTGAATTGAATTGAAATGACATTCAATGGAAACGAGTGAATGGTTTGCATATGTTTTGCACATTAATAGCAATGAATGAGTGAATGAAGTGTTAGTATGAATACAGTGTTGAATAGGAGTGCAGTCATTGTGAAGGCATTGCACCGACACTACGGAACAGACACTCCATTCGTGCGGACACTCGACAGACAGGCGTTCATACGAGACGTGAGGGATAGGGAGGAATGGGGTCAGTATTGATGTCATAATACTATAATAGATACTAAATGTTTGACAAACAGGTGATGACACGGACTGTGAACTGAGTTTATTGGACACCAAATACTGTACTCAACAAACACTCGACGCACTGTCCGTCCGCTTCACAAACGCTAACTTTCCTCTGCATCCCAACCCTTACATCAAATCAGGTAAACATTTGCCACAATCATTGCCATCACTTTCACTAATACTGTACTGTAATGTACTGCATATAAATGCGGAATATTTGCAAATAAAACAAATTTGTCTCAAAAATAACTTCCGATTGTTTATGAAGTTATGTATAAATAGACTTAAAATATAAGAATATCTCGTAATATAAATAGAGTGGAGAATAGACAGGAATCACAAGTTTGTGGCATAACTTGTAATACATATTCATAAACCATTTATTATTTCTATATTTGACAATAATTTCATTAATTGTGAGTTATTTCAGTATCAATTGTTGACATATAAACAAACTTAACTTAAATACGAAAATATCAAATTATATATAATATATTCATAAGAATGATATATTATATCAATTAATATTATAATATAGAATATCTTAATTTATGAAATATATGTTGGGAGTGACACAGAATATTCTGTTTATGTATTTAAATAACAACTCATTGTTTGATATGTGAATCAAAATACAATGCAATTGTGTGACAGAAAGAAGTGAAAGAGTTTTTTGAGTAAATTTCACGAATTTGTTGGCATTTTATGTAAATGTTGTCGAATACTAAGTACCGGAATATACGGCTAATACTGTAGTTATTCTTGCGATACAAATAATAATGAATTGATTTTTACGGTTTAGACTTCCATTGCGAAGAGCTTTTAAAATCTCAATTTGATCGGGTTTTGGATAATTACTCCGAAGGATTAGTAGTCCGGGAATTTGTGTTCGGATTCGCCATCACTTTGTTTTATTGCATCGAAGGCATCGATTGTCTTAAGTTAAGAAAGCCTCGATTCGTTGAGTCGTTATTCGGGAAACACACGAAATTCACGGCAATCCCCGACATCACTGCATACAAAGGCAAAGAAGTTGTGTTTAGTGTTGAACTGAAGGCCATAATAGAAGACAATGTCGAAGAATATCTGAAGGCCAGGGCCCAGACAGTCAGCGGCGCCATACTCTCTGCTCTACATAACCACGACAATCGGATTAAGGACTGCGACCACCAGAACCACTCATCCCTGTGGGCACTCCTAATTCGGTCTCAATTTTTCCATTTCTACTCTTTGGACATAAGTTCCCAATATCTGAAACACTTGAGACACAGCGCTGTCATTCCTCGATCGCAAGAAGTGGTCGTAAAGGAGTACAAAACTCTTGACTTCACGCAAGCGCCTCATCAGCGAGTGATTGCCCACCACTTGAAGAATATCTTCAAAAGCGAGAAAAGTTCGCCAATTGTTTGCAAACCTCTCTCCGAATGACGTCATGTCTTACGACGAGTTCCCAACCGACCACTTCTCACAACGCGGACAACAACACAGCAAATGGTATCGAGTGATGACGAGTCGAGTGATAACAAGCAAACAGAGTCTGTGATGAAGGTATGTATCCATCGATTAGACAATAGAGTGAATGCATTGATGCCATCATCTCATGGATTGTATCCCCAAACAGATCCCGAAAGTGGTTGGCTTTGGTCTCGATCTCATGCAGACGTCCGTCAATAAGGACGCGATTAATGAGGAAACGGATGACAGGAATGGCGACCAACAGATCGATGTGACGGAAGACATAACGGAGCCGTTGTGTGGGTTCGGACAGC